CTCCTCTCCCTCTTGAGTATTAAGTGGCAGAGTTTTCAACTTCTAAGCGATCTTCAAGCAAAGCTTGATGATGTTGCTATGGAGCAATTCTTGCAGATATTTCATCAAACAACTGACACCTGAAGTTCTTGTAGCTATTCCTATATTAGTTCCAGTAATCCACCATATGCACGCAGCCAGAGTGCTACCTCTGCTTTCATGTGCTCTTTGCTGGAGCAAGCTAAACGAAACTCAGAAACTTGCCTTTCATATGCTTTCCAAACTCCAGTCTCCATCACTTCAGCGTGGTCTTGGTCATCATTGGCCGAATCTTCCATGTGTAAAGCATGTTTATCCAAAGAAACAGCTTGAGTTCTAATGTCAGACAAAACTTCAACTGTATGTTCACTTTTGCTTGTGCCAGGAAAATGTAGCATCTCATTTGTACCAACGAACCAGTTTCTGCATTCCACACAACGGCGTTCTAGGTCAGTATGGTTTGAGTTTGGAACAACACTCAACTCAACTCACCCGTCACTTGTGGTTAGTGGCTCATCCAACAGGATGGCTAGTCCGGCTCTCTGACACCCAGCATCCACATTGTAAACAGCAGGAAGAAAAAGCGCCCTAAGAAGTTTTGTGGAACCAGGAAGGACAAGTGAACCAAGCTCGTCTGTAGTTGGCGTTGGCTTGTAAGGAGCACGATCTGTCAAAGGCCGAAGTCAATATGTCTCTCACAGGTCCATTAGCAATGCTATAACCTAGGAGGCTCTTACCAATAAGCACCGACGTCTTTTGACCAATCAAGCTAGTAGGAGGCTCCATTTCCACAAGACCAACGGGAAACTTCATCCTCTGGTACACGAGCAAGTGAGACATACTTTTGGAAACATAATGCGAAAATCATGAGCGAATTCAACCTGAATGTCCAACGTATTGGATTTTGAAAGATCGCTCGGATGGCGAGTCACTGTCTGAGACGCAGTTAACCGTTTTATCTTTTCAGCCATGCGCGTTCTCACTTCCGTGACTTCTCTGGGGATCCAGGAAAAGGTTAGAAGGAGTAAGGGGTGCTGCGAAAGACAGAACAGCGAGCAGATTACTTGCAGACTGCAGGCGGCGTGGGTGCCAGATTCGCGGATAATGGACTTGAAAACTTTTGTTTTTTCTTGGACACCGGCCCACGAGATGGAGAAGGCGTTGACAAGCTGACATTCTCCTGTAAGAGGAGAGCATAAGCGCATGTCACACGTGTGTTCTAAACACGTGTAACACGTGAAACCAACCTCTGACGGCAGAGACGTAGAAGGTTTGAGATTATGAAGCAACCTGCGGGAAGAGGGGGTGCTCAGATGTGCAAAGCTATCAACACAGCAGGGAGCTTACAAATACATCGAACGACCCTCACTTTAACTTCCTTTTGGCTTTGTCTCGAATTCGTTCCAGCGTCGAATGTTCCATATTCAACTGGGAAACGAAAGAGCAGCTGCTAAGACTTGTGGCCTGTACAGGTGACCTGTGGAGAAGACTAACTTGTAGAACGAAGTTAGGGAAAGCTGCGCTAAGGTGAGCATGTGAGGATCTAACTGCGTATTCTCTTCTGATAATGTTGGTGTGCAGGTTTGAAGGCTTGGAAGGTTGGGTTGGAAACTGGCTCGCGAATTTGTGGGCTGTCAAAATTGCTGGGCGAGTGTCGCCTGTTCGCCAAAGTTACCTGACTTTTCGCTCAACCCATCACGCCACATTCGCAAGATGCTGTGCACTGTCACAGAGGAAGGCAATCCCCAGTATAGCAAGGAAAACACCACCAGAGAATAGCCACTCCCCCATCGGGAATCTAGTATCCAGCAGGAGTCCCCTGGGGTCCTGTGCCGAAGCGACAGCGTTTACACGTTAGAGTAACGTTCCGATCGCGACGGTTAACTGGGTCGAAGCGGGCAAAAAATAGGTCGGCTCCTATCACCCGACCGCGACTCCGGGTTTTAGTCTTCTCAACACGCATTGGACCGCAGCGTGGTATCGAGGCCGCTTGTGACGGGGGATCAGGTTAGCAGCGGCCTCCCCATTGCGAAGATGCGACACCGTGATTTTTTTCGCCCTCTCCTTTCCGATCGTTCCCCGTCCACCGTTCCCTCTCTCTGTTTCACCGTCGCCCTTCCCCCCCCGTTCTCTCTTGTCGCCACGTTTCCCCCTTCTCTCTCGCTGCCATCTCTCCCTCGTTCCCCGCGTTCTCTCTGCGTCATCTACCTACGTGGTTCATTGTTTTCATTCTTCCGTACTCTCCTAGACTTGGACTGTCACACCCACGGGCTCGCGCTCCTGTCCCCTCTCGCGCTCCTGTCGTTTCTCGCGCTCCTGTTCCCTCTCGCGCTCGTCCTTCTCCTGCCCGCCTCCGGTCCCTCCATTACTGCCGTCGCTCCCCTCCTCGCTTCCCTCCCCTATTCCCTCTCCTTCCCCACCCTCCTCACCCTCCGCACTCTCCTCTCCATACTCACCCCCCTCACCCTCCCCTTCCTCACCCTCCCCTTCCTCACCCTTCTTTCCTCACCCTCCTCACCCTCCCCACCCTCCTTTCCCTCCTCGCCCTCCTCTCCCTCCTTGCCTCGCCCTCGTCTTGCGTCTCCCATCCGTCTCACCCTTCCACTGCGTCTGCCTTTCTCCCACTTATAGACTTCGAGTTTCGGGGTCAGGAGAATATATCCACTATTGACTGCCCCAATTTAAGCCAATTCAACAGCTGACACTTCATCCGCATTATCATATCCCGATTCGTGTTCGGAGACACTCAAAACGCCTTGCCCACGCTTATGGAGTCACCTCTTCCGTGTCTCCTTTCCTCCCCTCTCCACACTGCATTGCAAGCAGGCAGGCCCTGTGGTGGATCGCAGCAGCAGGCGTGTTTTGAGAATCCTCAACTAACGACTTCTGAGGCGGCTCAAGAGGCGAGCGAGCAGGCAGGCCCTGTGGGTCGCAGCAGCAGCGACACCATCGCTCTTCCCATTGCTTTCAACCCACTGGCATCACATAGCGTGGTCTCGCCACAATGACAGGTGATGATGGTGATGGTGATATGTGCACTTCCAAATTTGATTCGCTTATGGAGATTAGATCAGCTTAGATTTGTGGTCCGACCAGGGTGTCGTGTCTGGTCAGCTGTGTTTGACTTGTCAGGGTGACTTATGAGGCGACGAACCGACTGAATTGACTTCGAGTCGACCCCGAAGGTCACAGTGGTAAGTTCCGGTGTAAACAGCCTAGAGGTGTCTGAAAAGCTACCTTCTGGGCCAGAGAACAGCTTGTGCTTTCCTTGGCGCCTCTGAGATGCGCAGCGCACGTCTGTACCCTCCTTTCCTTGACCCACGCCAACTAGCAGCAGCCCTGCATCACCGGCAACCGTCTTTCTCGTTTATTCTCTCCATCAACCGTTGACTCTTACGTATGTCCATTCCCCTTCCCCCCTCTCCCTCCTTTCCCCCCCTGGCAGTCTATGAGCACGAGCAGCAGCAGGAGGTTGAGGGAGGGGCAGAGGCAATAACACTGCACCTGCCGTCCCTCCCCTCACACCTCTCTCTGCCCCATGCCCCGGCTCCACAGACTACGAGGGCGAGCAGCAGATGGAGGTGGAGGCGCTGGAGGAGCAACAGAGGCATGAACGCCCCTTTTCTTCTCCCAACTTCCCATCTCCTGCGCTCTGTGCTTCGCCTTCCCTCCCCCGCACAGACTACGAGGGAGAGCAGCAGATGGAGGTGGAGGCGCTGGGGAGGCAGCAGAGGCACCTTCCACCCCCCCCTCCACTCCCTCCCCATTCTCCCCCTTCCGTCCCTTGGCCCATCTCTCTGCCTCATGCCATGGCTCGACAGACTACGAGGGCAAGCAGCAGATGGAGGTGGAGGCGCTGGAGGCGATTCTCATGTAGGAGCGAGTCTCTTTCCCTGTGTGACACGCTTCTTCCTTATACTCCCTCCAGTCACTCCCTCCCCCTTTCCTCCCCTCCACAGACTACGAGGGCGAGCAGCAGATGGAGGTGGAGGCGTTGGACAGACAGAGGCGATAATAACCATCCTTTCCTCCCCTTCCCTCCCCGCCCCTCCCCTTCCCTCCCCGGCACAGACTACGAGGGCGAGCAGCAGATGGAGGTGGAGGCGTTGGACAGACAGAGGCGATAATAACCATCCTTTCCTCCCCTTCCCTCCCCGCCCCTCCCCTTCCCTCCCCGGCACAGACTACGAGGGCGAGCAGCAGATGGAGGTGGAGGCGTTGGACAGACAGAGGCGATAATAACCATCCTTTCCTCCCCTTCCCTCCCCGCCCCTCCCCTTCCCTCCCCTGCACAGACTACGAGGGAGAGCAGCAGATGGAGGTGGAGGCGCTAGAGGCGATTCTCATGGACGAGTTCGAAAGTGAGTCTCTCTGCCCCAATGCCATGCTCCTTCCCCATGATCCTTCCCCATGCTCCTTCCCCATGATCCTTCCCCATGCTCCTTCCCCATGATCCTTCCCCATGCTCCTTCCCCATGATCCTTCCCCATGCTCCTTCCCCATGATCCTTCCCCATGCTCCTTCCCCATGATCCTTCCCCATGCTCCTTCCCCATGATCCTTCCTCATGATCCTTCCCCATGATCCTTCCCCATGATCCTTCCCCATGATCCTTCCCCATGCTCCTTCCCCATGATCCTTCCTCATGATCCTTCCCCATGATCCTTCCCCATGCTCCTTCCCCATGCTCCTTCCCCATGATCCTTCCTCATGATCCTTCCCCATGCTCCTTCCCCATGATCCTTCCTCATGATCCTTCCCCATGATCCTTCCTCATGCTCCTTCCCCATGATCCTTCCCCATGATCCTTCCCCATGCTCCTTCCCCATGATCCTTTCCCAGCTTCGTAACTCCTTCCCACCAACCCCCATCCCTGTTTGGTCATCCCATCTCTGCTCTGCAGGGGTGGACGACACATCAGGCCTGGGCCTGCCAGCGGATAAGCCTTGCTACCTCATCACAATATCGCCCAAGGTAATGGTTCTATGCCATGCCATGCCAGCGGATAAGCCATGCTACCTCATCACAATATCGCCCAAGGTAATGTGATGCGATGGTTTTTGGAACTTCTATCAAAGGTGGTTACTGAGAATTGTCGAAAAGGTTGATTCTTGATTCTTGTCAATCCCTGCCATGCTATGCCACTCCATGCATGCTCCCACATCACCATATTGCCTAAGGTAATGGTGATGGTTGGTCACATGCCATGCCATGCTGTGCCATGGCACAATATCAGATCACCGTGTCATGGTGTCTCCTCTACAGAAATGGCCACGTGGCCATCATACCTTCACATGGTAAAAACCATTGGCTGGTCTTACCATGTGAAGGTGTGATGTGATGATGCCATTCAAAATGGTTTACAAAATTGACTCCAATGTAACTGGCATTCGTCTCACTGTCGATCGGTGGCGTGCAGCCAATTTGAATGATGTCATGGATGGGTTATGATGTTCTCAGCATTGGAAGTGACTTTTGAGTCGACTCAAGAATGATGTCATGGATGGATCATGATGTTCTCAGCATTGGAAGTTCTGACATGGTAGGGTTGGGTCATGGTCATGGTTGTGCGTGTTGCCTTTTGGGTCGACTCTCAAGCAATGAAGTGGCTGTTCTCTTCTCTGACACGGAGGGATTGTGTTTGTGCGTGTTGATGTGAGCAGGGGGATGACGAGGAAGAGACGACACCTTTTCCAGGTACCACTCTCCATGTGCCATGAGCCATGTAAGAATGTGTATGTAATACTCTGAGTGTAAGAATCTGAGTCAATGCAGTTTAGCAAGGGCTGGGTCGGCTGCATGTTGCAGTCATTGATCTCTACTCCTAACCCGTTTTCTGTTTTCAAATCACCTCCTCTTTCCCCTCTTTCCTCCTCGTCCCCCTACCCCCTCCCCCCCACCTTCACCCTCTTTCCCCCCCTTCGCCCCCCCACCCCTTCCTGGCAGTGCGGCTGGCACTCTACTTCGCCCACACGCCCACCTACCCCGATGAGCCACCGCTACTCAGTTTGCGAAGGTGATTCAATTAAATGTGGTTCTATGTCAGTTGGTTTTACTGCTGCGCACTTCATTCCAGGTGGTCTTTTTGCTGATGCTTCATTCAAGTGCTGATGGCGCAATTGAAGTATTTCTTTTAAACGAAACCCCCAAGTGTTGCTAATAGACATGAACTTATTCTGCAAGCATGCTCATGGATCCTCTTGCGTGTGTGGAATGGAATGGAATGGAATGGCATGGCATGGCATGGCATGGCATGGTGTGGGGTAACTGGGTTGCATGCTGTGCCACGTGTAGCCTACAAGGAGTGAGAGCCGTGGATCTTGAGGAGATTCGCAACAAACTCAAGGAAGAGGTTAGATTGCCATGGCCCTATGGTCCTCCTGTTTTTTCTTCTTCTCCGTCTTCTTTTTCTTCTTTTTCTGTGTTCTAAGCTTGCGGTGCTAAGGTATGGATGGATGATTAGCTCTTTCTATGTTCTGTGTTATTACACTGATGGTTATGTTTCATATGAATTGGTATAAGTTGGTTGATTGTTTCCGCGGCACTTGTTTTAACCGACCTTGGTTGCGTAAGGCTTGTTTCTATGGGCCTTCTCATGCAAAGTTGCTCATATGCCACCTGCGTTTTGAGTCATGTTTGCTATTTCCCAAATTCTGAAAGGGCGAATGATGGAAAAAAAAAAGAAGGGATCGGCTCGAGCCAAACCATCTGCATGTAGTAGTATCATCATCACCATCATACCATCAGCACCACTCTCGTTCTGCTTCTCACCACTCACCACCGCACTGCATCCATTTGCATCGGCCGAGACCGCATCTCCCGCAGCCCACTCATCGAAGCAGCCCTTCGATTTAAGCACATTGCCTCCTTTGTGCGTCGCATCACCGGCGTGTGGTCGCGTGCGTGCAAAGAGGGGTATGTGCTGGGAGTGTGATGGAATCAGAAGTGCATCTGACGCCCTTACTTACTTGTTCCCTCACCACTACTACTATCTATGCACTAAAGAACTTGTCACTGAGTGTGGATTTTTATCAAGGTGTGTCATTCGTTGTACAGTGACCTTGCTGCAATGACCCAGCGATATGAGATTCGCTTTTGAAGAGGTCAGGTCATGTTGGCCCTCTAATCCTCCTGTTTCTATTATTTTTAAAGCAACGGATCTCTCTGTAGAGTCACTATTTTATTCTGCGTTCTAAGCTTTCCGTGTTTGAGGTATGGATCATTGTGTCCTAAACCCTGTCCTTACGTGGATGGTTATGTTTCATACACAGTGATTTCTGTATATACTCTTTTGTTTCTGTCGACCTTGTGTTGCATCAATCTTGTTCCTATGGGCCTTTTTCATGCTGATTTTCTCCTCTGCCACCTGCCTTTTGAGCCATGTTTGCTATTATCCAAGTATTGTAAGGGCGAATGATGGATAAAAAGAAAGGGATGGGCTCGAGCCATCATCATCATCATCATCATCATCATCATCATCATCATCATCATCATCATCATCATCATCATCATCATCATCATCATCATCATCATCATCATCATCATCATCATCATCATCATCATCATCATCATCATCATCACCACCACCACCATACCATCACCACCACTCTCGTTGTGCTACTCACCACTCACCACCGCACTGCATCCATTTGCATCGGCCGAGACCTTATCTCCCGCAACCCACTCATCGAAGCAACCCTTCGATTTAAGCACATTGCCTCCTTTGTGCGTCGCATCACCGGTGTGTGGTCGCGTGCGTGCAAAGAGGGGCATGTGCTGGGAGTGTGATGGAATCAGAAGTGCATCTGACGTCCTGCCCCTTGCTTGTTTCATATACAATCATATACAATCTACTTGTTTTCATCTCACTACTACAAATTTATGCAATACATAAACTGGCATGTCTTGTCATTCCTTGTACATTGACCTTGCAGTAACTCAACTCTTCCTTGTGTTTCTTTTTTCGTCAAGGCTTGTTCTGCTTATTGCCTGGTTGAAGCGGGCCTGTGAGCCTGGAATCTGGGCAGGGCTTTTTTTTCACACTGGATATGACGACGTTCAATGCGAGACAATGGTGTCATTACCCGTTTATGCCTCTCGCATCCCAAATCTTGCCAGTGTTGTCAATATCTTCTCATGTTTTTTCCTTGCAGTGATGTATATGTACCCCTCTGGACATCATTGCAATGATGCCCCCACGCCCCCATGCCCCCATGGCCCCACACCATGCCATCCATGCCGCTATCCCTCTATGCGTCAATCCATGTGTTATGCCTCCACACCCACCGGTCGATGCAAACCTGTGGCATCATGGCATGGCCATGATGTTAAAATGCCATGTGCCTTCATGCCTCCATCCATGCTCTATCCATGCCCCGGCTTCCATGCCTCCACACGCACAGGCCGAGGAGAACCTTGGGATGGCCATGATGTACACTCTCGCCACGTCAGCCAAGGAGTGGCTGAGAGAGACGAACCTTGGGATGGTCATGATGTCAAATTTCTCTATGCCTCCATGCCTCCATCCATCCCCACCCTCCTTTCAGGCCGAGGAGAACCTTGGGATGGCCATGATGTACACTCTTGCCACGTCAGCCAAGGAGTGGCTGAGAGAGAAGTACGGGGGAGTGGAGGAGGAGGAAGAGGAGGAGGTGAAGGAGGAGGTGAGTTCACACACTAATTTGATACAGCCACACGGGCTGCTGGAGAATGTCGAATAGATTCACAGAAGCAGCTTCTTTGAAATGACGGAATCTTGATTGTGCAGTTTTCTCTCTTGTTCTCCTGCTTGTGACTGCATGTCTCTCTAGCTTGCTCGCTCCCCTGCTTGTGTCTGCTGGTCACAATGAAGGCATTCACTGAGGCCAGTCCCTTTATAATGACGAAATTCCTGCATGCTAATGTCTCCCTCACTCACTTGTTCCCCTGCTTCTGACTGCCTCTTTGTCAGGTGATTGAGCCACATGGGCTGCCGGTGACAGTGGAGACATTCACAGAAGCCTTTTTTTTTTTATCACTGAATCTTTGGTTCTATCCCTCTTTTTTTCTCTCCTGCTTGCAACTGCCCCTTCACAGGTGATTGAGCCGCATGGGCTGCCGGTGACAGTGGAGACATTCACGGAGTGGCGCGATCGGTTTGAGGCAGAGATTGCCCTGGAGAAGGCCAAGTGAGACCTCTTGTTGCAGTCGTCAATTGCAGTCAACAGCAGTCAACAGCATTCAACAGCAGTCAACTGCGTCAACATCAGTCAATTACAGTCACTTGTAGTCAACAGCAATCACTAGCATTCTTTTGTATACTACAACTTGTAGTCAGGCACAGTCAACATCAGCCAGCGGCAGTCAACCGCAGTCAACGGCAGACGTAAACATGCAGTCAGTTGCAGTCAACAGTCAATTGCAGTCACCAACATTCAGTGCTTTCAATCACAGTAAACATCAGTCAACAGGAGTCAACAGCATTCATGGGAGTCGGGGATGGAACTCGAGAAGAGCACGTCGGTTGCTCTGCAAAAAGCAGTTGTTCTTTACTTTTATTGCTTCCCTCTTCTTGCAACCCTCGCCTCACCCTCTCTACCTTCAACTCCTGCCTCCGCCTAATCAGGTTGCTGTCAGATGCTGCACTCGCGGCGTCCAAGGAGAAGCGGCTTACAGGCCGACAGTGGTTCGTGCAGGTGAGTGTAATTCGTTGCTGATCAGGTGAAAGTGGTGTCCGCTACTGTTCAGGTCAGATTGGTGTTTGTTACCGTGTAGGTACAAAGGGCGTTGGCTGAATCTCACCTTTCCGCCATCCTTTGGTTGCTTGCATGTGCGTGCAGAAAGCAAGCAAGGGAATTGTGGTGGATGAGGAGGAGGAGGCGGAGGAGGAAGAGGAAGAGGAGATCGACTTTGATGATGATGATTTCGACGAAGGTGAGAGGGATGGGGGCGGGGAGGTGGGAGAGGGTGGGGGGGTTAGAGGGTTCAGGGTTGCAGTGCAATGACGGTGGAAGAGGACTTCGATTTCGACGATGATGTAGAAGGCCGGAAAGACAGAGTGTGGAGGAGTCAGGGTGGGGGGATTGGGTTTTGAGGGGAAGGAAAAAGGTGGAAAGGGGGAAGAAAGTATGCGTTAGGTAGGTGTGGGACAGGTGGAATGGCAGAGAAAGGTTAGTGAAGGGAGAGAGTGCATGGATGGAGGTGTGTACATGGTATGTGGTGCATACCATGTTCCTTGGTACATCGTGCTTGGTATAGTATGTGGTACATTGTACATGGTGTGTGTACATGGTCGGTGTCAAGAATGAAAGTCTTGGTTTGACTAAGGTTGGTTGGGGTACATAAACCTAACCCTAATAGTTGTACCCCCTATAACACACATCACTAAGACTACAACATTTGACACACCCCCATAGTCTAAGTGAGGGGTGTCAAGCAAAACCAAAAATGTACGGTCACAAGACCAGTCACAAAGAAACAAAGCTCAGGGTGGATCACAACGTCACCACACACTCCGAGCACAAGCAAAAGAGTCACAAGGCCAGTTCAAGAGTTCACAGAGGTATATATAAAATGTACAAACAAAGCAAGCAGAGAACTCAAGACTACGCAAGGCGAGAACCTGAGTCAACGAGACCTAACTGCATACAACACCTCTGGTGGTCACAAGGCGGAAGCGCCTTGGTGAAGATGTCTGCAGTGTTGGCCTCGGACTCCACAAAGTCGAAGCGAGCCTGTCCACGCCTCTGCAACTCTCGCAGAAAAAAGTACCTGATGTTGATGTGCTTCACTCTGCTCTCCAGTCGCGGCTCTCGACAAAGGAGAATCGACGCCTTGTTGTCAGTGAACAAGGTCGGTGCAGAGCTCGGCCGCTCACCAAGGTCGGTGAGCAAGAAGGTCAACCAACGCAGCTCCTGTGCAGCCATGGCTCCAGCGTAGATCTCGGCCTCAGCAGTAGAGGTCGAGACCGAGGAAGAACGCGTGGACCTCCACGAAACAGCTCCAGAGCCCAGGCTGAAGCAGTACCCCTGAGTAGACATGTGAGTCTCGGCGTAGTCAGCGTAAGAAGAGTCACAGTGTCCAGTAAGTACAACAGACTGCTGCCCTCCAAGAACCAGCCCCACGCCTGATGTCGTCGCTAGGTACTTCGCCACCCTCACAGCAGCTGTCCAGTGAACTGGACGGTGTCTCCCTGGCGCAACAAAGCGAGCAAGGATGCTGAGAGGGAAGGCGAGATCCGGGCGAGTACAAGTCATCAGGTACATGAGGCAGCCCACAAGCTCTGCGTAAGGACCACTAGGCTCAAACGGCTCGTCAGGAAAGGGTCCAGTGAGTCTGTGGTCAACAGCAAGAAATGTGCGCTGTACTGTGGAGTGCTGAAGCTCGAACCGCTGAAGGACCTGCTGCACCATGTGTGACTGTGAGAGTGTAATGGTGCGAGCGGCTCTGTCCCTGGTGATCTGCAAGCCAAGGTAGTGGCGCAGCTCACCAAGGTCAGTGCACGTATGTCTCTTCTGCAGTTCGCGCTTCACGTCAGCCAAAGCAACCCTGTCAGCAGTGGCGAAAACCAGGTCGTCGACGTAGACCAGTACAAAGAACGGTGTGGAGCCACGCCGAACAAACAGCGACGGGTTGGCAGAAGACGGCTGGAAACCGAGGTCAGACAGGGTAGAACGAAAGGTGTCGTGCCACTCACGAGGAGCCTGACGGAGACTGTAGTCCGGTCGCCTCAGCCTCCACTGGGTCCCAGGAGGGAAGGTGCCAGTGAAGGCAGAGGGACGACGCAGCCCGACCTCCTCGTGTAGGCTACCCTGAAGGAAAGCAGTAGAGAAGTCGAGAGAGTGTAATTCGTAGTCTCTCTGTGCTGCTACGTGCAGTAACACCCGAAGAGTGGTTATCTTCGGGGTAGGCGCGAAGGTCTGAAAGAAGTCAACTCCCTCGCGCTGACTGAAACCTCTAGCCACATAGCGCGCCTTGAAGACCGGAAGAGATCCCGGTGGCCGCTTCACCCTGAAGATTCACATGCCATCGACTACGTTCGCCCAAGGGGGGGGAACCTCGTCGACGTAAGTGCCTGTGGATCTGTAGAAAGCCATCTCTGAGTCCATGGCAGCTCTCTACTGAGTGGCCCAAGGCCCTGACACTGCCTCAGCGTAAGTGCGAGGAGTCGGTATATCACGGGCGTCGGGGTCTCCCTCAGGGGCGAGCAGCATGGCACAGAGATGAGGGGAAGCGGCTGCCATGAATTCTAGCTCAAACTGCCTGTCCTCTAGGGCGTCACAGCCAAGGGCAGACTCACCCCTGACGGCCAGAGGACTGGTAGGAGGAGCAGCCACAAGACTGGTGGCGTAGTCAAGGCGGCGAGTAGAGGCAAACTCAGTGACTCCGGTAGTAAGAGCGGAGACAGAGGACAGAGAAGCACGTGGGTCGGTAACAAGAGAGGCGAGAACACGAGAGAGAACAGGACGGTACGTGCGGTAGTAGTCTGTGACAGGAGTAGAGAGGGAAGCAGTGAGAGCCGACTCAGGAGGAGAAGGAAGTACAGAAGGAGACGAACGAGGCGGACTAGAACGAAACAGGGCAGTACGAAGGTCAGTGAAGGGAACAGGAGACGAGTGACGAGCACGAGGAGAGCGACGCGAAGACCAAGTGTGAGAAAGAGGAGGGGACAACGGGGGCAGAGGAGGAGGGAAAACAGCTGGGGAGGGGTCAGGAGGAGGAAGCGGAGGACCAGAGACGGGAGGAGAGGGGGAGGAGGGAGGAGAGGGAGAGGGGAGACCAAGGGTCCGAAGACCAGAGACAGGAGGAGGAGGTGGCTGCTGCTGCTGCTCCTGCTGCGGCTGCGACCGCTGCTCCTCCAGCTGCGGCGGCTGCTGCTGCTCCTGCTGCGGCGGCTGCTGCTGCTGCGGCTGCTGCTGCTGCTGCTGCTCCTCCAACCGTTGTAGCTCCAGCTGCTGCCGCTCCAACTCTCTCTCCTCTCGCTCCACCTCCAGCTGCTCCTCACGGGCACGGCGTACACGGGCCTGGTGCCGGGTCGGGTAGGGGTGGGGGGGAGGAGTAGTGTCCGGAGCGGTGGTAGCCCCAGAAACGCTCTCCAAAGAACCAGTCGCACCACCCCCAGAGCCAGCACCACCAGAAGTAACAGGGTCCGTCCCAGGCTCTCCAGGTCCAGCAGAGGGTGCACCCCCAGTCGTAGCACCCCCAGGGACAGCTCCACTAACAGCAGCTCCCCGAAGACTAGAGTCTCCTGCAGTCACGGGCTCAGCTCCAACTCCAGCACCCCCAGAACCAGGACCTCGCACAGGTACGCTCTCTGCTCCAACTCCAGCACCTCTAGAGCTAGCACCTCCAGGGTCCTCGCCACGAAAACCGGCTCCCGCAGGGTCTGCTGTAGGCTGGGAGGAGGACTGCGGGAAAGGAGGCTGCACCTGAAGGGCTACCGAGGGGGGAGGGGTAGCGTGGGACACACCTGACGGGGCGGGACCAGGGGGGGGAGGCTGTACCGGGGGAGTAGGAGGGGGAGCTGAAGTCAGGAAGAGAGGGGGAGGAGGAACCGGGAGACCTCGACAGGGGTACCTGACGTAGTAGGGGACGGACTCGTCGAAACGGACGTCACGAGAGTCAAAGAACCGGTGAAGGGGAGGGTGGTAAAAGGTGTAGTCAGAGGAGTCAGCAGGGAAACCAAGGAAAACGCAGGGAACAGCGCGAGGCGAGATCTTGTCCGCAGAGGTGTCGCGAACAAGTGCCAAGCAAACCCAGACACGAAAACGCGACGCAGCACCAGGGGACCCGGTCCAAAGACTGGTCGGTGAAACCTCTGGCCGAGAGACACGTGGCCAGAGGTTCAACTGGTGAGCGGCGTACCGAACCGCGTAAGGCCACAGAAAATGGGGGGCACGGGCGGGACTCATGGAGGTGCGGGCGATCTCCATGACCAAGCCTATGCGGCGCTCAGCAACCCCATTCTGCTGTGGGGACTCTGGAAGCGTCCAGGACTGACGGATGCCCTGTTCGCGACAGAATCCAGCGAGAACGCCAGAGCGAAACTCACCCCAGCGGTCGGAGTGAAGACAGCTGACACGACGACCACGAGTGTCCGCAGTGGTAAGTAACCACCGGATCAGCGTAGAAGTCACGTCGGACTTCTTCGCCCGGGGGAACACTGTGGTGTAGCGGGAGTAGTCGTCAACGACAACGAGAAAGAAACTCTCTCGCTCAGGGCGAGGGCGCGAGGCGGGGCCCCAGACGTCCAAGTGGAGAGTCTCGAAGGGCTCGGTGGCCGGACGAAGGGAGGAGGAGTGAGGGGTGGCGCGCAGCCGACCCTCGATGCAGGGACCGCAAGGTGGTGCAAGCGAAGGCGGCAGCGACGGCAAGACTCGCGGGAGGCCTAAGACAAGACGCTGACTAGACATAGCGCGCAGGCGAGAAATGGACGGGTGCCCCATCCGGTGGTGCCACAAAACAGTGGGGTGGGCAAGTGACCGGCAGGAGCACGACGCAGCAACTGGACCAGACACCGGAACCTGACCAGACACAGCTACCTGGGGAGACGCGGCAACCTGGTGAGACGCGGGAACCTGACGGGGGGCAGTGACAGGGGTCGGAGGTAGTAGCTGCTGCTGCTGCTGCTGCTGCTGCTGCTGCTGCTGCTGCTGCTGCTGCTGCTGCTGCCGCTGCTGCTGCTGCTGCTGCTGCCGCTGCTGCCGCTGCCGCTGCCGCTGCTGCTGCTGCTGCTGCTGCTGCTGCTGCTGCTGCTGCTGCTGATGCTGCCGCCGCCGCCGCCGCCGCCGCTGCTGCTGCTGCTGCTGCTGCTGCTGCTGCTGCTGTTGCTGCTGCTTGCTCTCGGGGGCCAGTGTGAAGTGTGTAGAGACCAGAGCCCGGCTCAGCGGTAAAGGTGGCAAGAGGCGAGTACGTGTCCCCGTCGACACAAACCGCAGTCTCGCCAGAAGGCTCAATCCACACACCCACGTGCTGACTCACGAGCGGCCTCACGCCCACCAAGTTC